CAAGGAGCCAGGGACTTTGGTCCAACAACCTCAGTGAACAGAATTCTGCCAGCAGCCCAAATGAACTTGAAATGAATTCTCCCCTAGAGCCTCCAGAAAGGAATGCAGCCTGTGGACACTTTGATTTGGTCTGGTGAGACCCATACCAGACCCATACCAGACCTACAGAACTGTAATATGATACATTTATGTTGTTTTAAGCTATTAAGTTTGTGATAATTTGTTATGGCAGCAATAGAAAATTAATAAAGGGACATTTCAATTGTTTACAGTTTATGGTGATTTCACATAATGCCACTATGAATGTTCTCATACAAGTTTTCGATAGGAACAGGAGTTTTCATTGTCCTTGGTCAAGTACCTATGAGTGGGGGTTGCTCACAGGCATGTCTGCATCCTTGCTGATACTGTATATGAGAGTTCCATTTGTCTGTTGTTTTGATTTTAGCCAGTTTAATAAATGTGTAGTGGTATGGCATTGTGGTGGTTCCAAATTTGCATTTCCTTAATAACAAATGACGTTGACCATGTCTGTTATTTTGTTTATTTGCATCTGTACATCTTCCTTGGTCAAGTGACTTAATTTTTGAACCAGTTTTTTAAATTGGGTTCTTTGTTTTTTTTATTATTGTGATTTGAGAGTTCTTAATATACTCTGAATACAAGTCTTTATCAGTTATGTGGCTTGCAAATATTTTGTCCCAGTCTCGCTAGTCTTTTATTCTCTCAACATTTCCTTGGAAGAGCAGATGTTTTTTATTTGGGGGAAATCCACTCGATCAATTATTTTTATTTATAGACCATGCTTTTGGTGAAATCTTTGGTTATTAATAAGGTCACAAAGGAATTTTTTCTGCATCATCTAGAGGTTTTATAGGTTTACATTTTTTAGGTCTGTTACCATTTTGAGTTAGTTTGTGTATATGGTGCAAGGTACGCGTTGGAAATTATATCCATATGGCTACCAGCTGTACCAGCACCATTTGTTCAGTTCCAGTGAATTGTCTTTGCACTTTTGTTGAAACTCAGTTGATCATGTATATGTGAGTTTATTTCTGGATTCTCTTCTGTTCCATCCATCTCTAAGTTTATCCTTTCTCCAACATCATAGTGTCTTGATTACTGTAGCTTTATAGTAATCTGATAATGTGCATCCTTTTTCAAAGTTGTTTTGGCTACTCTAGTTTCTTTGTTTCTTATTTTTAATAGTAGAAAGCTCATAGAGTGATAGGCTGGCTTCTTTTAGCCTCTGTTTTTATTCCCTGGAGAGTGAGGAGAATCAAAAGTCCTACCTTTTGTTACTTTTGCCAAAATGGCAGGATTCTGGCATCTTCTTTATCCTTCCATTGAGGGATCTTCTCTGTATTTTTTATTTGTACAAGAAATTGACTTTTTTTCTCTTTAGAAATATATTTTAAACTTTTAATAATTCACATGTGTAATTGTTCTTAAGTTCCACAGATCTCCCCAGTGTATTACTCTGAATTAAACAACAAATTCATTGAGTTCTGGAAAACAAACACAAAAAAATCCATTGAGTGTTAGAAGTTCTTTGTACATTTTGGATGCTGACCCTTTATCAGACATGTCATTTGCAAATATCTTCTCCCATTTCGTAGGCTGTCTTTTAGTTTTGTTGTTTCCTTCACTGTGCAGAAGCTTTTTAATTTTGATGTAGTCCCAATAGTTTATTTTTTTATTTTGTTGTAAGAAAGGATCAAGAGTGGAATTGTGTTTGGGTTAAAAGAAAGGTCAGACTGGTACTGGCTTGAAGACTTAAATCCCAGAGATGGGTATACGGCTGTCTTATAATTCAAAGCCAAGATCGTAAATTAAGCTGCTTTAAGGAGGAGTACTGTGGATGGGAGAAGGAAATTAGAAAAATAAAAACAGGCTTTTATTTCCTCCTTAATGAAAGAAATACGAAAGTCATTGCAAGATTCTTAACCCAGACCGGATTTAGCAGTGTGTTCTTCCCTCCCTCCCCACTTTTCTCTCTTGCCTTCTCTCTCTCTCTCTCCAGTTGTTATAAAATTCTTTTTTATAAAAGATTTGTTTATTAGAGGGTGTGCACACGAGCAGGGGAGGGGGCAATGGGGAAGAGAGAGAGAGAGAGAGAGAGCAAGCATCTCAATCCAACTCCCCACTGAGTGTGGAGCCTGAAGCAGGGCTGGACTCACAACCCCGAGATCATGACCTGAGCTGAAATCAATAGTCGGAAGCTTAACCCAGTGAGCCACCCAGGCGACCCTATAGTTGTTATAAAATTCTTAAAGTATTTGATATAAGTATTTAAATGCCATTTAAATATAAATTAGAATTACTTTAGTTTTCCTAACTCTGACAACTAGTATGTCTTATCTGGGAGTAGACGTTTTATTTTTATGAAACTAGAAATAAAAAGACATCATATGTACTCAGTTTTCGTACACTTTAAGACATTTCCTTTTTTGTGTATATTTTCTCTTTCCATGCTCTCTGGTGAAAATCTTTAAATTGTATTAAAAAGCTCTGTATGTATATGATAATTTTAGTTGCAAAGCCTACATCTTGGGAAAATTAGCTCGCATAGATTTTAAAATTCCAAGCTATTTTCTGGAATATTTTTTCGACTTCACGTACTACTGATGGAAAAGCATCTAGCATTTCATTTTTCAGCCACAAGGTGGTGTACTTGTACTGCATCTACTGTCTGAAATTATGTTTGGTGACTTTCTTCAACAGTATGTTCAAACCTAACTTAAGATAAAACAGAACGTTACAAAAGTTCACTTTGGGCACTAAAAGAAATTCTTTATGGCAGCAGGTAATCTTTATAGGGATGTCCAGTTTTATTTGAAGGGAAACCAAGGGGCTTTCACAGAGAAAATAAAATAATGCATACAGTAATGCATTTTATTACATTATTATTAAAAATTTTTACTTGGCAATAACTTCACAGTTATTAAAATGTTATAAGAATAAGAGCAGTACAAGAAACATCCATATACCTTATACCTAGATTTACCTACTGTTAACATTTTATCCCATTTGCACACCCTCTCTTTACCTCTCTCTACCTCTCTTTATATAGGTGTGTGTCCATTTTAAAACATTTGAGGCTATAAGTTACATACGTCATGACACTTGACTCCTAAATAGTATGTTGTGCTTTCTTTTTTTAAAGATAGTGATGCTCTTTTTATATAGCCACAATACAGTGTCAACTTCAATAAACTTAACATTGGTATGATACTTTTATCCAATCTACCATCGGTATTTCAGTTTGTCATTTGACTAAGTAATGTCCTTTATAACATTTTTTCCCTTCCAGTTCAGCAGTGTCATGTCAAGTATAACATTTAATTGTCATGGCTCTTTAGCCTCCTTTAACCTGGAATATTTTCACAACCTCTTCTTGGTCTTTTATAACATTGACATTTAACTCCCCACCCCCTTTTAATAGAACATTACTTTTTTCCATTTGGGTTTAACTGATGATTTCTTCATGATATAGGTCATACATTCTCAGCTATAATATTGCATAGGTGATGTTGTATCCTTAGGGTATTACATATGCCCATCCCCCCCCCCCACCGCTTTTAAAGTTTATTTAAGTAATCTCTCCACCCAACATGGGGCTCGAACTCATGACCCTGAGATCAAGAGTCGCATGCTCTTTCGACTGAGCCAGCCAGGCACCCTACCCATGGCCCTTTTAATGGTGAAGTTACATTATGTTTTTGTTCAAGTCATTTAGATATATGTGCTTAGAAGAAGAATTAGGTGCCCATTCAAGGTCATGTAAGAGCAAACAAACATTTTCCCTAAAGGAAGATACTTAGAAATAGATTAATGCTCCCAGTAGGTAAAATCTGATTTGACTGTAAGGCTTGAGGTAGCACATTTTAACTTTATTCCTTGCAAAGCTCTTAATATACTATATTGGCATTTTATCTGTCCCTGGATTGCCAAAGAATATTTGTTGATATCTTCCTTGGGATCTGCCAGTCATTCTGGTGAAAGACTAAAATCTAAGTCGGTGATATTAGAAAGAAGAATAAAACATATCTCAATTTTAATTTTTATATGTCCTAACTAATACCAGATCCAAATAATTTTGTAGTCTCTATTTGAGTTTGTGCTTCCATAGTCAAATTTTAATACAAAACAAACACATGAGTGCCAAATATGTTGCTGGAAAGAATATTGTAAACTGAAAGAAATGATAACAAGTCTTTATCCTTTGGTTATTTGAAAGATTTGTTATTAAGTGGATAGAAATAATTTTGTGAGTAGGAAAATTCCCGAAATATTTCTCATATGTTAGTTTTAGGGTGTGTATAGAAATTCTCCAGGAGGTATACTTACTTATAAAGAAGGTAGTCATTTTGAATATTTGCAACTAATTAATTTCATTTGCTGAAAAGTATTTGTAACATTAATATTTAGATGGTATAATGCCCTCTAAGAAACAACATTAGTTTGCGGCTCTGTTGGAGAACATGGTGAATCAAAACTTTTATGATCTCATACTTTAATGCATTTACTTTGATTACATATGTATATTACATATAAAATATGTATTTCACACATACTGTAGACATCAAAGCATTTGAGGTATGAAATTAGATGAATATAAAATAATTTGAATGCCAAAGTGCCCATTAGATTTAACAGTTGAACTTGAAAAGTTATTGGATTCCTCTGTAAGTTATGATTTCTCCTACCAGCTATCCTGCAGGATATTGGAAAGGAGAAAAAGTTACCTCCATATTCCTTCCATTTTCGCTCCTTGATTTTTACAAAGGTATATACTGCTTAAATTGGTAGTGGTTTATAGCTACTGTTTTTGACACTTGTATACATGTTTCTGAGTTTCCAAAGTGTACTAAGTGGTGTCCTCGGGGCTCAGAATTCAGTGTGTCTTCCCAAGTATGTGACTTAATTCTGGGAACCTGAGCAGTATTATTTGATCAAATATAGTTTTAAAAATTGTTTTATTTATTTTTATTCCTCAGACAAGACATCTGTGTAGATTCTACTTCAACTGTGAGAGAGAACAAGCAACCTGAAGGTTTAGAATTAAAACAAGGTATGAATCAAGTAGTTAATTTTTATATATCATTACCTGAAGATTATAAACATTTTACCAATAATAAATTTTCAGTGTTCCGGTTGCCCCCATTTTACAGATAAGGGAACAGAATAATTTATTTGGTCCAAGATTACAAGAGTAAAGGACATACTCTTTATTTCATGAGTGTCACCAGAAAGCAGTCATCTTGAATAGTGTTAATTTAGTAATCTGTACTGTATGTCATCAGCTGCAGATACTGGAGATACATTAACAGGATAGCTTTGGGTTATATGTGAAAAAACAAACAAACAAAAGCTTTATGGGGTGACTTTGTTTGTCTTTTGTGCAGAGATACTTTGTTATTACTCTCTTCCTTATTTATTTTCTATAAATCAGTAGTTTTTGACATTACCAGCTAGCAGAACTGAAGTGATAATTTGTAATTTATTCAGGCCAAGTAGATCAATGGGGTTGATCTTTCACATGTCTTTTTTTTTTTTCTTCTCATTCTTGTTGGGAAAATTGAAAGTAAAATAAATTTTTATTAGTTACTCAAAGACCACCTCACATTTTTCCTCTCTCCTGATAAAAGTACTTCAGAGCAATGAGAATCTGCTGTAGCCAAAATGATTATTTTATTTATTATGTAAGCAACTAATCTTTGATTGGCTTAGAATAGTTTCTCTAAAACTTGAGTCATAAGAACTTACTTGGTACAGAGAAGTAGGTCATCAGTTTATTTAGGCAGAATTTCTTTTTTTACTTGTGGTCTGTGTTATTAATGCTTGACAAAGTGAAAAAAAATTGGATAACTAATTTTGTGACTCATTCAATGTATGTGGAGAAAGAACAAAATCAAGATTTTTCTGTAATTCCAATTTATGTACTCTGGGGTTTTATAAATATTTCTGATGGTTTCAAGAATTCCATTGTTTTTCAGAAGTCCTATTGTGTTGGCCTCTTAAATAGACAAAAAAAAAAATTACGTCTTTATATTCTGACTACTTCTGAGCACCCACCAAAGACATAAAGTCAGAGTCATAGTTTCATTTACATTTATTTGTCATATATAAATAAATGCTAAGCACACATTATTTTCATTTAACTCTTGTACCCCATGGGTAATTGGGCAACTCTGCTGTTCATTCTGTCTTTGTTTCTATTCTTTGCATCTAATGAGCAGGCATTGTGGAGGGTATGCTATTAGATCATCTATGTAGAGAAGAATGTCATGTAATTGACATGGTTGATTCCTAGGGAAAAAGGAATGAAGACCTCATTGTACAAATTAGCCAGTGCTGCCTTCTAAGGGAGGAGGTTTTTCTGCTCTCATGTTCAGGTACTTGGAGCTCTTTAGAACTTGCTTCTGAGTGTCAAAAACCTATTTTGCTGTGATTTTATATATTAACTTCAGTCATTTAAAAACCAGCCATGGAGGCAAAGTGGGAGAGAAAAAGAACTCAGAGTAGCCAGATACCACAAAGCCCAAGTCTTTTATGCTCAGGAGCCTATATAGACCATTCTGAGGTTCTCATGTAGGCATCAGAAACATCCAAGAACACACTGTCATCAGTAAGGGACAGCAAAGAGAGGTGAGTAAACATAACGTCACAGCACAGCAGTACCATCATGCAATACAGTTCATGTGCATGTTGTGACTGAATCTGTAGGAAACGGTTAAATTAAGTTGCACTCTTTTTTTTTTTAGAAAAGAGGGAAATAATAGGTAATATCTTCCAGAAAAAGTCTATAAAAATAGTTAAAATATAAAATGTTTTCAGTTGCATAGTGAAATGAATATAAGTTTTCTAAAATATTTAATTATGTAGAACATCTTCTAGGTAAATATTAGTATAGCGAAAATCTGAACCAGATAGTAAGTAACTTGGTTGGAGTTCCCCAAGAAGCTGAGGTACACCAGGAAATAGAAATCCTAGTAGTCTCAATAAAGATTGGTGCCTTTTTTTCTGAATGAACTAATGTTGTCTATTTTTAATATGCAAAACTTGCAGAATTGATTTAATATTATCTCTAACTTTTCTTGCATAGCTAGCTGTTCTTGCTCACAGTGAGCTCAATAAAAACAGAACACTCTTCGTGAATATATTGTTGTTTTGTTTAATGGCTTGACCATTTAAGAAAATTAATGGAAGCTTATTTAGAATTAAAGTAACCCTTTGTTCAGCAGACCAAAATATAAAGCAACATTGAATTTTCTCTTTGCTCTTTCTGAATAAAGTAAGTCTTATTATATGACCTATTCATAGTGTATGGTACTGACACATTATTTAAATTACACTTTCAATTTTTACAGCTTCTCAAATACTCAAATATTGAGAAATATTAATGGTGAATTAGCTAATTGAAATTTATATTTTTTTGTCTAGTTCTCTATTTCCTATCAATAAGATGGATGTGTCTTATTGATAGGAAATATCATTTATGAAACAAGCTGTGCTGAAGCTGAGTATCAGATTGTGGGCTAACTTCTACCATACTTTAATGATGGACTAATAGCTGAACATCTTCCTTCACTGTGCAAACATTATTTAAATGTAAATAAAATCTGGTTGATTGATTGGTAGTATAGTAAAATAGGAACTCTTCTGTTGGGATTAGTTTCCTAACTCATTTTTAGCAAGAGGGCAGCTGTATAAGAAACATTAGTTATAGTTTTGCTCTTTATCTTCAGCACAGCTGTTTGTGTACATGAGCACATATACATGTACAAGCCTGAGATCTTTGATTAATTTCCTGGAGGATCTCAGGGCTTGTATTATTGAAAAGGTTTAGCTAAGTTTTTAAAATAATAATTATTCTATTTAAGATTTCTTTATTTGAGAGAGAGTGTGAGAGCGTGTGAGCAGGGGGGGGAGTGGGGAGAGGGGCAAAAGGAGAGGAGGAAAGAATCTCAGGCAGACTGCTGAGCACAGAGCCTGCTGTGGGGTTGGATCCCCCAACCCTGAGATCACAACCCAGCTGAAATCAAGAGTCTGTCGCTCAACCAACTGAGCCACCCAGGTGCTCCTAAAATAATTATTTATGTAAATTTTCTAAATTGGTCATTTGTGCTATAGTTTAAAAAAATGAAAACTGCTGTTTGTTAGAGGTATTTAATTGGTAAAATTTTTTTTTAAAATGTCAAATCTCTGCTAATATTAATGAATTCTCTTTATATATCTATAAATAAATTTGCTTCAGATGTTCAGTAATATTTAAGTAATGGTCTATATTTAAATTATTGCTTTAAGGTTTACAACCAGGGCTATGTTTAATTTTGCAAATTATTCTCCTTTGTAACTTAAGAATTTAGTTCTTAGTTTTGCATTTCTTCTTGGAAGTGGTCATGAGAAATTTTTTTAACTATACATGAGAAATAGCTAAGTCAAATTTGGATACTTAGGTTGAAGAGGATGTGAGGTTTTTAGCACTCACTTTAAAATATTTGAAGAGCTGTCAAGTGGAAGAGTGATTAGGCTTGTTCTGTATTACCTCTGAGAATAAAAATAGGGCCAGTAGATAGAGTTATCATTAGATAGATTTTGGTTCAATTTATTTTTCTCAAATAATCAGAAGTATCAGAAAATGAGTGGGCTGCTTTCCTTTTGCTGAAGGATGTTTGAACACAGGTTACATAAACCACCACTTGGTGGCTCTGTTGTAGAGCAGATTGAAGCAGTGTTTGTTTGGCTCTTCGGCCTTGATCTTGAAGTTGATTTTCTGTCAGATTTTGTAAAGACCAGTGCCTAGTGCAGTATTGTCTGTACTTTATCTTTCTCTATATTTTTTATTCTATTGGAAATTTATTCTTCCGTTCTATTAGAGAAAGACGTGCATGCAAACATGCATAAAATACACACCAAATTTTGCTGTGGTTGGGCTCAAATTCTGCCACTGTTGTGTTTTTAAAAAAATAATGTAGTTGCCTCATGTAATTATATCTTGAACTTCCAGTTCACAAATTAGTGTAGGATGGACAGCTTTAAGAATTCTCTTGTTAACAAGAGCTTCAAAAAGTTGAAAGGTAGACTTTTATAGGGGAAAAATGTTTATCAGTGGTTAAATTGTATGATGGAAGTTTAGATATTTTCTGTGGGCTTTTTTTTTTTTTTAGCCTTTTAGACTAGTGGTCACCGAAGTGTAATTATACACACTTCCAGAGAATGCAAGAGAAAGAATACCAATACTTCTGAAGTAAATAAATATATATAAACTTATGTATTTGTCTCTCCGTTTAAAAATTTCTGATTCCATATATCATTGTATAGTACATACTAACTTATAATACTACATACTATTTTATAAGTAAATAAAATACATACTGGAGCAGGTACTTAAAAACATTTTCAGTGATATGTTTATATAAGTAATGAATAGACTATCATAAAGAATCGATGATAGTCACACTTATTCTAAAAATTAAATGTGAAAGAAGAGATTTTTGCCAATATTTAGCAAAGATATTAAATATAAAACTATATGAGACCTTTTGAGTCCTTAAGGTGAGGAATAAATGGAAAACCTCAACTGATTTGTGCTCTTATTGCTCTTATTGTTACTGTTGTTCTGAGGTAGTACTGTACCAGGAGAAGCAGAGGTAAGTAGAGGGACTAGAATGAAAAAGAATGAGGAAATTAATTGGCAGTTAAAAAGGAGTTGAGTTTTGCTGAAAAGCACTTCCTAACCATAGCTGAAGGAATACGTACAAGTTATAAGAAGTTAAAAAGATAATGAGAAAAATGCCCTCAGAGACTTCTGTTTGCTTTGTGAAGGAAGAGAGAATGAATATCATCAGTTAATTAAGCAGCATTTGGAGGAGTTTTATATGTACATATTGCTGTAGAAACCTCTGGATTGGCAAGTGAACTCTGTGTTGCCTCTTCCTTTCAAGACCGAAATCGCAGGCGCGAGCATGAGAGAGCTGTGGGGAAACTGATAAAAGTGTTTCAGGTCGTTTGGAGTTGGAGACAGAGAAGCAGATGTACAACTGATTTGTTCTCAAAGTTTGAGTCTAA